TGCATCAAAGGTAGTAAACAAAGACAGCAACATGAATGGAACCTTTTGTAGGGCTGGATTAGGGAGATCTTCAACAAATGGTGGCTGAGTTACCACCTTTGGATTTTTCAAAGCCTGATAACCTGATGATATGAAATTTTTCCAAAGCCTCTGTGCATGCTGATAGGAGTCTACAGAAACAGTAAACTGCCACTGGGGTATATAATTCTGTCAGATATGGGACACATAAGTTTTATGAGTCAGTCACCATATATACCAGTTTTAAATTTATTTCTTTGATTCAGAACTAATGGAGACTGAACTCCACACACTGGAAAATGACTGATGGAGACTGAACTTCTACACATTGGAAAATGAAAATTGATCGAGATATGGTCAGTGGTAAGACGGCCTCTACAGCCATCAGTACTGCACTGTGGGAATGAGGTGTAGTAACAGCTTTCTGTCTGATAGGGACAAATACATATCATTTATGAGAACACTGAGAGTATCATAGATGGCCTTGAGAAGAATTTACATCCTGGCTTCAGATACCCCACGGAACTTCGCCCTGACCAAGAAACAGCCTTCCCAACATAAGCAGTCTGACAACGAGCACACATTCATGTGCTACCATATGCTCCCTGTACCCTGTCATGAGCTAGGCAATGCAAGGATGCAACAAAAGACTCACGGAGCCACTATCATCAGGATATAAAGATGGCCTGCTAGTGGGGTGGTACTACCAATCTAACAGTAGGCAAATTAAACGCGGTACTCCCAACAAGGCAGACATGGCACTGCTGAGCATTTTGAGAATCACTGAACTTGGAGCACGCTATAAATACAGAATCCCAATCTCACTGTTCCTAAGCCCCCCTTTCCCCTTTTTCCTTTCAGGGTGCATATCCTCTTGCAGGTCTTCCATTTGGTCAACAGAAAATGCTAGATGTGGTTCCCTGCTTCTAATTTGGAGACAGCTATTCCCCAGGGAATCTTCTCCCACTTTCTGTGGATCTCCACACCAACAAGGGACATGTCCAATTAGCACCAGGGTTCTAGATTCATGATGAGAAGGGTTTCAAGAGAGGTCAGTGAAATGGGGACACTGGGAACAGGGAACTAACACAACTGACTGGTGTCATTAACTGCCCTGAAGTCTGAGACATAGAACAACACACAGGGAGGTGAGCACAGAGAGAAAGACCAAGTGAATACGCACGGAGATGTTGCCATTTGGAAGCCAAATACCTTGCTCCAAATACCTATCTCTGTGGTAATTTAATGGTGTTTATTTTAAAAGAACCAGTGAGTAGGAAGTCAAGAAGAAGAAGTATTCCTTACATGCACTGCATCACTCAGTTTTCTTTCTATAACAAAATGCCTAAAGCTATGGGCTTCAAAAGAGGACAGTATATTTAGATCCCAGTTTTGGAAGTTGAATATCTAAGAACAGGAACCTCAGTTTTCTACATCTGTTGAATATTTTAGGAATACATTAGGGGAAAAGGATTAAAATTATATATGTATTTTTCCCAAAGAATGTAATATTGTGGATCAGAACATATACTAATAAAATTTCTTAAATATGATAAAGGTAAGATTTTGACATATAATTGAACAAGAATGCAATATAACTTTTAACATTTACAAATCTTTATGATTTCAGATGTTTAAAATTTAAAAAATCATCAGGTAGAATTCCTATATTATGAATATGAGGACTAACTGTTCACAAGCATAGGAGTAAGGGTTTTGGATATATTCAATTAGATAAGGACTAACTGTGGGCTAGGGAGTTTAACCCTTATAGACGAGGAACTACGCTAGACAAGGGAGTTTAACTCTCATTCTGTAAAGATCAGAATCTTTTGTAAAATGTGTTTTTTATAAGCCAAGTGTGGCAGTGTATGCTGTAGTCAGGCTACTCAGGAAACTGAAGGAAGAGGATTGGGAAATTCAGTTCCAGCATGAGAAATAGCAAAGTCCTGTCCTGACATACAAATAATTTAATAAATAAAAAAAGATGAGTATGCAGTTTAGTGCCAGGGAATTCTTGGATTCATTTGCTTGTACCACAAGCAAGGTATATGTTGACAAATAATTTTCTCTGGAAAAGGTCTATTGAACTAATTAGATTCTCAAAAGTGTAGTGGTTAAACATGAGCAACAACAGGATTAAAACTCTTAGTATTAGAACTCCTCCATTAAAACTATCCTGCCCCATCCCGATGGAGTAGTCACAAGACAACACAGCAACACTGATCAAAATTGCAGGACATAAGGAAATCTTTGACCTGCTGATTTCTCTCCCTGAGCCCCGATCCATCTTGCCTATGGACCCTAGAGAGCTCCTTCCTGAAACTAAGAGGTCTTCTGTGAGGCTGGAGGATAGTCTTGTCAAATTGTAACTTTAGATATACATTTTTAGAAATGCTGCAGGGGATCCTGGAAGATTTACAACACTTAGGTAAAAAGACATTCTTTAGGTAATCTCATTGGTTTCCTAGAATTTCTTTGCACACCCTCAAACTTCATTAATCCTCCACCCCAATATCTCACTTTGAAAGTGCAATACTGCTTTTGGCATGTATTCACTGTACCTCTTGATGAATATATTATTTGATATTTTATTTAATGTGGTAAATTCTTCTTACCCCTCATCTCATTGGCTCAGTATATACCTTCACACATATTTGAAAAGCACTGTAAATTTATAGAGATTACTAGTTACTGTTCTTGGGCTAGAGAGGTATCTCAGCGGTACTGTGACTGCATAGCAGGTTCTAAGTCCTGGGTTTCTGTTATGACTTGTATCTGTATGTACCCCCAAAGCCTCAAGAAATCATAGGCGAGACTCTTTGGAAGTGGCTAGGATGTGCAATGCTGGGATCAAGGATGCAGTGCCAGGATTAAGAACGTGTGCGCTAACTGCCCTAAGTATGGGTAGCCTGGATAAGATGTAAGGACAGAAAGAGTGCCATTGTTAGTCACTGGGCATTTGTAGCTTGCTGCTGACTGCCTGGCATGAACTGTTTCTTCTCTGCCATGCCCCTCTACCATGCCACCCTGCTTTGGAGTCAGCCAACTATGAACTGAAACCTCTACACAGCCTCTACAAAAGAATTAAACCTGTAAGACACATAAACTTTTCCTCCTTTAACTTTGGGTGTTGGGGATTTTGTTACAACAATGTGAAAAGTTACTAAGACAGTCCCCCTTTCAGCAAACAAACAAAAAAGCAAAAAAACTTGTTCTCTTGGGAATATCTTTATGATATATTGAAAGATGCAGAAATTATTTGTGAGGATTTATTTCTGGATTCCCATTCAAATTTATTGTTCTATATATCAGATTTTATCAAAACTGCATTGTTTTAACTATGATAGCTTTGCAGTAAGTTTTGAAATCAGGAGAACTACTATTTTGGTTTTTTTCACGACTGATTTGGTTTTTTAGAGTTCCTGAGATTCCATATAAAATGTAGGATCCTAAATTTATCCCTGGTTCTGACAAAGATACCCTTATAGAGAACTCTGGGATCCTCTGCATTCCTTTCTAGATTAGGCTTTAAACCTGACTTACAAAATCTGCAAACTCTCAAACTAATTTATTTGACTCGTTCCCCCCCCTCCTTATTAAAACACCTGGTCAAGTACTAGCCGTTAGTAGAGGTACAAGGCTACAGCCTTAAGATGATGTAATATGAGCAAAAACTTACCTAATGCCTACGTAAAACCCACCTCCAACCATTTCTTAGAAAAGTTACAAAGAAAGGGTTTACAACTGAGAATTCTTTTTGTTTCTTTAAAACGTGTATGCATCTGTTTCAACTCAAGTATTTTTCTCAAGCACTTGTAAGGCATCCCTTTGAAATACAATCATCAGGAAAGCAGAGTCTGTTTCGCAGAGTCTCCCTGAGGAGATAGGATCCTATCTTCCTTAACAGGGCCCTGGTAGATGCAGTGACCTAATCACTTACACTGACAAAGCCTTTTGATTTCTCATGTCCCTGCCTTTCCCAGGCCCTGCCCCTCCAGTTCTCACACTCCTTTCGAAAGGCCCCTTCACACCTGGGCAAATGAAAGCTGAGCGCTGCTCACAACTAATTTCATCCTGAGAAGGGTCTAATCCCATTTAAGGACCATGCCTTTGCAGTTTTTGATTTCCATACTTCTAAGGTCCTGATTCCTCTCCTTTCTCCTCCTTTCAAGACAAAATTCGCCTTTGTAAAAACAAAATTGACCTCAGTTGTTCTGGCCCTATTTCCCACTGCAATCAGTCATTGTGGATTAAAGCCTGTCATTATCACTTAAGCTAAGGGTCTAGCCTTGTTTATCTTTGATAACACCATTATCCATTACAGCTTTTATGAAGAAGAGCCCTTGGCGCTCATATCTTACTTGAAAATCATGGTATTTTAGGTGTTAGGGCTGCATCCCAGTGGGAGGACACATATGTGCCATGCAGAAGCCCCCTGGGTTCTATCCGCAAAGATGCAACAATAAGTGAAGCAAAATTCAAACTAAAACAAAAATACGAACAACAACCAAAACATGGCATTTCAGTAAGCATCATATGGTGGTCAGTTGATTTTAAAGGTTGACATTGCTATCTAGGGCCATAGCTGAGGCCAGTACACACCCAGAAGTATATCTGGTTGTTTTACAAAAAAGCTAGACCGTGCATGAGTTATCAAGGCGTTTTTCAGTATAATGTTCAAAGATTATATTTTGGAACTACAGAGGAATCAACCTTGGGGTCTTTAGAGCAAGGCAGTAAGAGATAAAATTAAAATCCCAGATTACTCACCACGTATGAATTGTTTGCTGTAGTTTTTCAGACTGAAGATTATCTGAGGAGTATGGCTGACAGTCTCGATGTTAGGCAGAGTTAGTCGTTAGCAGGCATGAATTATCAAGGCATTTTTCAGTATAATATTCAAATACTATATTTGGAACTCAGAGGAATCAACCTTGGAGTCTTTAGAGCAAGGAGGTAACATTAAAACCTCAGATTACTCACCACATATGAATTGTTGGCTGTAGTTTTTCACACTGAAGACTATCTGAGGAGTATGGCTGACAGTCACGACGTTAGGCAGAGTTAGTCATTAGCAGGCTGAAGACGGGCATCTGGTGGCTACTTGGAAAGTAAAGGAGACATCATTAGTTACAGGTAAAATTCCCACAAGCTGTGGTTTCAAACTTTAGCTCAGAGACTGTAATGTCTCTAAGTGTGTTTAGGTTCAGGGCTTATGGCAATTTCAGACCACTGGTAGGAGCCTGGAAAAGCTTCAAGGTCTCAAAACAAAGTAAAAGAAGACATCTACCTTTGGAGTAAATGGCAAACTAATTCTGTTTGGAGTAGGCAAATACAGCCGAATCTATTTGTACAAGAGAACTGACTTGGCCTCCCTGGTAAGCGGCTGTGGTGTGGCAGGCTACAACAGTTCTAGGGGAAGAACCACAAGTGTCTCTTGACATTTGTGCCATGTTGGAACTTAGGGCGCTGGGAAGCCAAGCAACCAGCTCACCTCCCTGCTACGTGGTAGTGAGGCTACGTGCACAAGGGCTGAGAATCAAACATCCTACTTCCCTCCACCCCATTAGCACATGGGAGCCAGAGATCTGAGCATCTCTTGGGAGGTTGGCCGTATGCAATATAGCAAATAAGGGGGATATTTACCAGTGTTTTGCTTTATTCTGATTAATTGTATTGCTCTATTCAATATGTTTTGATAATTTCTATAATGTTTTGTATTTCATTTTATTTTGTTATACCTGACAGAAAGAAAAACTATTGTGAAGATAATGAGATATACTGTGGTACTTATTACTATTATCCTAGTAACCTGCTGTGAAATTCTGTACCATTTTCACTACACTGTCTAAATTGGCTTTGTTCTATCTTGTTCTGTTGTATTTTACTACCTTCAAAATAATTTTAAAAATTTAAAAAAATTGACTTGTCAAGAAAAAGACACTTTTTAAAAGATCAAGTTAATCACAGAAGTGTAAGCTGAAACATGACCCTGTTAGGACCCGGGCTCTGAGTAATAGTAACATAGTCAGGAATCACTACAACAATGAAGGACTATGCAGACTCCTGGGCCCTTATCAGTTGTTTATTAAAGCATGATTATGTTTTTTTCCTGGGACAGCTAGGAATTTAAAAGCCATTTTTGCTATGAACCATGACTCTTCACTTGGACCTATGGGTGGTCAGTAGATAACTATAAGAGGAAAAAAAGTTTGATTTTCAGTTTGTATCACTTGTTATTGTAAATGTTCGGTTAAATCTCTTCTCAATTTTTCACAGAGATATGTGAATATTTGGGGTAATAACCCACCAGGGGGAAGACTTGCTCTGAGCTCCAGAGTGTATTTCTATCCTGCTTGCAAAGTTCTTTCTAATCTTCTGTGTCCTGCTATTCAGCACTGAATTCACCCTGTTCAATGTCTCTATTCAGCCCCAAAATGGGTCATGGTGGCTCCCCAAGGCCTCACAGGGGTCAGAGTTGAGTTCAGTTTATCTTGAGTTTGGATTTCACTTGAAACTGGCAAGAAGTGTTTGCCTGGAAGTTGGCAAAACAACAGGATTAGCCCTGAATTTAGAAGGTTTGCAGGATCTCATCTTTCATCAAGATGGAAGATAAATGGTTTACAGGGTGATTCCCCTGTACTAAGATGTCTCCGGCCATCTGGTCTAAACCTGTGATCCTGTAGATTCCAGGAAAGGTAAAGCCCCACATGACCGAGACTACCCAAGAATGTTTTCTTGGAAAGTTAGGCTCCTTAGCCACAATGGCTCAAAACTATGACGCAAAGACTGAATTAATGATCAACCAGACCCCAGCCCACCAGCTAACCCTAGAGAGCCTGCTTGCTGCTTGGTGGGCCAGACCCACCCATGTATCATAGCGAGTGCCCTCCAGCTGCCCATGCTGAAGTTCTCTTCTGTCTTCCATCTAACTTTCCAATTAAAGATTTTCCTCTAAAGGTGTGTTTAGATTTGATTTTCATTATTACTAAAAGCAGATTCCTGCTGCCTAGGAACAAGATTACAGAGCCAGTGTTCCAATTCTGCTGTCTGTGTGATTGAGTAAGTTTCTTAACCTCAGTCCACGTTGATCTTCTGAACCCTGATATAATGTTGGGAGGTGGAGAGGTGATAACTCATCGGAATATTAACACTGCAGTTCCTACGATCTTGCATTCATATGGTCCGGCACATGTGCAGGTGCTGCCAGACGATGCTGTCCCTGCAAGTGCTGCTGAGTGTGTCAACAGGGTCTTTTTGCAGGTTCTGTCTTGTGCAAAGGATTCCATGACCCACTCTACCTTTACATGGACTGGAACACACCTATTTTCCCCTACCTATCTGACTAAATTACTTTTCAGATTTTCTTTTGACTGTACCAAACAGAATCAGGTGCATGCAGCCAAGTAAAAAAACAGGTAAAGAAGGGCTGCGGATTTAGCTCAGTGGCAAAAGCACCTGCCTGGTGAGTGTGAGGTCCTGAGTTTGATTCCTGGTACCAAACAAACAAATAAAAGCTAACAAAAACATCATTTATTCTATGTGGTGTTTTCTATCTACTCTGCTGCTCTTCAATTTGAGTAACTTCTCAGAAAATAATGCTATCATCAATTATTGAGCATGGATTTTACTAACTATTGTTATTTCTATATTTAAACCCTACCTTCCTGTGGCAAATATTCAATTGCTCTTGACATTGCACATATGGTAAAATTAGGTATTTTTCAGTTGTGTATTTTGGCAATGCTGATGACTGAATGAAGAGCCCTCTACTCTACCACTAAGCCAGTATCTTCTGAGACGAGGTATTTAATAACTGCGTCATAGGTTTATAAGAGGGAAAACCATGACAGGTTTCAGTCACCTCCTAGTGGCCTATGCTCTCATCCCCTCAGGCCCACAGGTGACAAATGTCCACAGGGCCACAGTGGTCAGTGATGGCTTTAAAGCTCAACTGCAGCTTGTCCATCTCAGCTGCCTGCTCAGAGAAGCTCGGGAGTGAGTTGCTGCCATGGGGTCTTATTCCACAATCTTGATGACAGCGTCGCCCCTTGGGAACCTTCATGGTATCCCCCAAATGGGAGAGAGAAGGTGCCCTGAAACTGGATGGACAGCTGAGACTTAGGTGTGCTGGTACTTTCTTAAATAATTCATGGGGAGGAAGACTTGCTCCAGACTCCAGCATGCATCTTTATCCTTCTTGAAAAGTTTTTTCTGTCTGATCTTCTGTTTGTTACTAGTTAGCACTAAATTCACCCTCTTCACTGTCTCTATTCAGCCCCCCAAATGGATCCCTTTGGATCTGTAAGGGATCACAGGGATCAGAGTTAAGTTCAGCTTAATTTGGCAACTGACCCACAGATGGGGCCACTGTGACAAGGCCTTTGGCTTCCATGTCTTCACATGTAACCAGCAGGGGAAACCATCTCTTCCATGTTCACTCCAGTTCCAAATGTTACCTTGGTCACCTTCTTGGTGGAGACTGAGGGAATCTGCCTGTGTTTGTCAGTTTTCTCTTGCTGTGATAAAATATCTGATAAGATCAGATTTAAATTAGGAAAACTTTATTTTGGTTTATAGTCTTAGTGGTTTCAGTCCCTAACTAATGGCTTACCAACATGGGATCATGTGTTGCAGGAAATGTGCTCAATACAAGTCAGACAGAAATAAAAAAAAAAAAAAAACAGGAAAGAAAGGGCTGGAGTCATCTATCGCCTTCAAGGGAATAGTCCCAGTGCTGTAACTTTTTCTTACAGGCCCTACATCCCAGATATTCTACCTCCCAACAGTGCTGCAGGATGCACTTTTGGGAAACATTCAAAATCTAAATTCCAGCACTGCCAAGGCCAGGAGGTGTGTCTTTAACTGTGGGTCCAAGAAAAGGAACTACTTCCCCATGTGTAAAAGGACTATCTGAACTTTAGCTTTTGGGCTAGAGGACACTTACTGCAACATAACCATGCAAAAAATTCACTAGACCAAGACGAATTAAGCTCAATATTCTTGTATTCCTTGTGGGACTTTAACTTAGATTTAGAACACAAAACAAATAATAATAGCTTCCTTTTGACATATCAGGTGGACTGGATTAATTTACAACACATTTTTTTCAATAAGAATTGTATGTATAAACCACTAAATCAGAAATTGTTTATACTGATACTGGTTTCCAAGTAATTGTAGATTTATAGTTTCACTGGTTGTCAAGTACATCATTACAGTATGTTACAATAAAAGAATAAAACCATTGCCAAACTGTAACACAATCAGTTCCTATCACACAGAAATTACTATCTAATAATTATCATTAAAATTATTTTAATTTACATAAATGTGTATACATGTCTCATATCGCTCCTACAATCGATACAGAAAATGTAAGCACAACATATTAACAGATATGTTCCTGTTTGTTCTTCTCATATAGGTTTTGTAGACATAATTCCTGAACAAACCTCTAGTACTGTAATGGCTTATGATGTGGAAACCTCTATGCTTTTTGCAGTAATTTTCAAACTGATCCAAACATACATATGGAAACATTTGAGATCCATAACCAACAAATCCTGAAATGAACAAAGTTGGATTATCTTATTTTAGAATTTACTGCAAAATAGTAGTCAAAACATTGTGTTGCTTACATAAGGAATAATGTATTGGTCAACAGAAAATAAGTGAGTCTCCAAAGGCACACACATGCACACATGCATATACACACCTGTATGTATAGATATCCAACTGACTTTTTAATATTGCCAAGGAATGCTGTTCCTGGGCTAAGTTGATACTCCCATACTGATTAGACTCTTGCCTCACAGAGTATACATAATTGAATCAGAAGTCCTCATAGATGTAAGTGTAGGAGCTGAAACTACAGAATTTGTAAAAGAGGACATAGGCTTCAGATTAAACAACGAATTCTAAGATACGACACCAAAATCCAAGTGATGAAGAAAGAGCAGATAATGTGATCTTTAGCAAAATTAAAAAATGTTTCACTCTACATATTTTGGGCTAAACAACATCTCAGGAATGGAAGTGTGTGTTTTCCACTAATATAGCTAAAAATAAATTTTGCCTATCATATACAACATGTTATCACA